TCCATAACAATAAAAAAATTTATTCACATTTCAAAACTTACTTTTGGCTTAATAACAAACATGTAAACATTAAAAAAGAATAAAATTACACATTCACATGTGACATGACTTACTGGCTGAAAGATTGTGAATAACACAGTTTAGTAAAGTATCACAATGATATCATAGAAGAAAAGAATAAAATTACACATTCACATGTGACATGACTTACTGGCTGAAAGATTGTGAATAACACAGTTTAGTAAAGTATCACAATGATATCATAGAAGAAAAGAATAAAATTACACATTCACATGTGACATGACTTACTCGCTGAAAGATTGTGAATAACACAGTTTAGTAAAGTATCACAATGATATCATAGAAGAAAAGAATAAAATTACACATTCACATGTGATGTGACTTACTGGCTGAAAAATTGTGAATAACACAGTTTAGTAAAGTATCAGAATGGTATCATAGAAGAAAAGAATAAAATTACACATTCACATGTGACGTGACTTACTGGCTGAAAGATTGTGAATAACACAGTTTAGTAAAGTATCACAATGATATCATAGAAGAAAAGAATAAAATTACACATTCACATGTGACATGACTTACTCGCTGAAAGATTGTGAATAACACAGTTTAGTAAAGTATCACAATGATATCATAGAAGAAAAGAATAAAATTACACATTCACATGTGATGTGACTTACTGGCTGAAAAATTGTGAATAACACAGTTTAGTAAAGTATCAGAATGGTATCATAGAAGAAAAGAATAAAATTACACATTCACATGTGACGTGACTTACTGGCTGAAAGATTGTGAATAACACAGTTTAGTAAAGTATCACAATGGTATCATAGAAGAAAAGAATAAAATAATACATTCACATGTGATGTGACTTACTCCCTGAAAAATTGTGAATAACACAGTTTAGTAAAGTATCACAATGGTATTATAAAAGAAAAGAATAAAATTACACATTCACATGTGACATAACTTACAGACTAAAAGATTGTGAATAACACAGTTTAGTAAAGTATCACAATGGTATCATAGAAGAAAAGAATAAAATTATACATTCAAATGTGACGTAACTTACAGACTAAAAGATTGTGAATAACACAGTTTAGTAAAGCATCACAATGGTATCATAGAAGAAAAGAATAAAATTACACATTCACATGTGACGTGACTTACAGACTGAAAGATTGTGAATAACACAGTTTAGTGAAGTATCACAATGGTATCACAAAAGAAAAGAATAGAATTACACATTCAAATGTGACGTGACTTACTGGCTGAAAGATTGTCAATAACACAGTTTAGTAAAGTATTATAGAAGAAAAGAATAAAATTACACATTCACATGTAATGTGACTTACTGGCTGAAAGATTGTGAATAAAAGTATCACAATGGTATCGTAGAAAAAAAAGAATAAAATTACACATCATAGAAGAAATAATAAATTATACATTCAAATGATATGTGATTTACCCACTAAAGATTGTGAATACCAGTAACACAATTTAGTAAATATGAATAACACATTTACAGTATCATATAAAAAAATAAAATGACACACTCATAAGTATTTAATGTGACTCACATCCTGAAATATTGCAGTTTATAAAGTGTCATAGAAAAAATAAATAAAAATTTTACATTCACAAGTACCAAGTACCTGAAAGATTGTGAATATCACAATTTAGTTATCACAATGGTATCATAGAAGAAAAGAATAAAATTACACATTCACATGTGATGCGACTTACTTCATCCATTTTATGAGAATGTTATGAACCTGTGATAGAATGAGAATAATGAAAGCTACAAATATCACTAGCCATTAGCAAATTAGAGGTCAAAAAGATTATAAAATTTGAAAATAGTCTTATCATTCAATTGACTGCAATTTGCATGCATGTGTTGAGCCATATGTCGATGCAGTGTCGATGGAATATGATTTTTTGATTATAAATTTATTGGTAACTTGCAATTTGCTTTGCAAATCTAGTAATGGAAGTTAGTCTTATGGTATGTACGGTATCTGCTGGGAGGAGGTTGAACAAAGTCACTGAATTAACGAGACACCTACGGTGCATGGCCTCGCCCTTATAACTGTTTGATTATCAAAATTAAAAGAACTTTAACATGCAAATTGGATACATATATATATATAACAAGTGTATTCCTGAGGGATAGCAGCTAGCTTGTATAGATCTACCAGACTACCTGCAGAAGTAGCAGCATGCAAGCTACTCCAGCTACTCCCAAATTGGAGGTGTGGCCTGACATCTCAACAACTATTAGTTAATTATTTGATGGCAGCAAGCCCTGCAACAAGAAGGAAGTTTCAGATTTTTCTCTTCTTATAAGTGCTATATGATATTATAACGGCACAAATACTGTTGCCTAGATGTAAATTGAGTGATTTGAGAGAGTTTAGGACCTTTAGACTACCTGCAATTCACTCAGGTTGAAATTCAAGAAGCTATAACTCACCAACAAGAAAGATTTAAAGAGTGCCACAAATATTAAAACAATAACTAGTCTTGATCTACTGGAAAAGAGTCTCATTTACCTCCAGAGTACTACTGCTATTGCTGGGCATTTTCTCGTGAGATAAAAAGCTTCTACTAGCTTGAGCTGCTCTCTAAACATCTCAAGGCAGTGAAGCAAGACTTTTCCTAACAGAAGAGAAGCTCTCACA